ATAAGTAGAGGGAATAATGTGATTTCAGTAAGTTGGAAAAAAAGAGAGAAAATTTCGACGCATTGTATATATTGCCGGTAGTTTATCTGCCGTTGTAAAGTTTCAATTCTGGTCTCAATCGTCGAATGAAGTAAATGTTAGAACCGCGATTTCCAAGCAATGTTTGCACGATATACATAACCTGCCTCGTCCCTCGTCGCTTCAGTTGGGAATAGAGATCAGTGGAAAAACAATGGGAGCGCGGTGCTTAATGGAAATGCGTAGAACGCGACCGCGCGTACGGATAACGGACTGTGGAAGAGTCAGATACATAACTGGGTATACCAAAGTCGGATTTCAAAAATATAGTGAATGGCAACATAGTAAAGTATATATTATAATATGATATAAAATGGTCAATATAAAATAGTCAATATAAAATTGTCTATATAAAACAGTCAATATCAAAAACAGAACTATTAAACTAATATCAAATCCAGAAATGGAAATCCATCCAAATATATCCTTTTTAATCTAGTTGTTCATCTAGATTGATATTTGCTACCGTACTATCATCATCATCATTTCCCAAATTTTGTAGGAGGTTGTCATCGTCTTTCTGTGAACTGGCTGCCAAATTTCTAATTTTAACAGGAGGCTCTTCTCTGTTCTTATGATGTTTGCGTATCTGTTTTACTATTACATCTTGGGCTACATTGTTGTTGTTATACGTAAGATTGACTTCGGAAATGGAAAGAATTATTTCCAGGATGTCTTCATCCGTTAGTTGGTCGAATTCGAAATGTTGCTTGTCATTTGTCTGAGATTTGTATACTTGGAAGAGTTTTTGAATAATACCGTCCCTCAGAAGAATGGAGAATTTGGTACCATTTTTGTCAATGAAGAAAGCAGTGGCTTGTATTTCTGGCTTGTAGTTTGATTTTAGTTGGGTTAGGCCACAAGCAGAACACTTCACTAGCTTCCTGTTACTGTTTATCAGAACCTTTCGACACTTTTTGCATAGAACATATCTGTGAACGGATTGCACTCCTTCCGGTGGGCAAGGTATGATGAAATGCTGAACGGCATTGACAACATTTTCATCCACTCTTTTGACGGCTCGTTGACTTTCACTTATTTCTGTTTGCTTATTAAGGGTAATGTAGTTCTGATTGCTGAAGTCTTTCACAATAGCTCTTTTAAGATAGTAAGTACGGTGTGATTCTATTTTGCTGATATCTGCTTCCCATAAGACCAATCTTACTGTAGCAGAATCATCTGTTATAACAGCTTCTTCCATTTTAACTTTGTTTCCTCTGATGTTGACAAATTGAGGTTCACCTTGAAAAGTTATTCGTCCAAATACATCCAAGAGTGTTCCAGATTTTAGATTTTTGATTTCGTGAACAGACACTTGGACTCCTTGATATTTAGGTTCGCGTTGGTCTACATCGATATCAAAATCAACCTCTTGCTCGTTTGGGTCCAGTATTCTTGATCTCTTGTTTATCAGAATTTCCTCAAAATTCGATCTGGGGCTGACTTTCATCTGGCAGTTGGCGATTTTTATAGGTGATGATGATTCGTATCTGGTATTGAATTCATCATGTAACTCTGAATCAAAGCATACAGCCCTATAGGTACGTTTGCGAGTCTGTAATTTCATGTTGAAATAAGAGTTCTTCTTTTCACTTTCTTTAATAGGTGATAGGTTATGCAGATAAGCAATTGCCAAACTACCTGTTAAGATAAAAGACAAGTAAAAATTAAACTAGGGTACCTGCAAGGTACTAGGGATTGCTGCGGGCATTAAGAGCAAACAGAACTAAATAGTAGAAATTATATAAAGCACATGCAGTTATTACTCACACTGTGGCCGAAGCTTAAGGATACAAAATCGATTCAGGACATGAGTGTAACTGAGAAAAAGCAATGCATTTGTTGCCAAGACCAGGGATTAAAGGGCAATCACAGCTGATTGAATAAACATATAAGCAAGAATATATATTTTCAAGACCAAGTAGAATCCATTGAATTACGCGCTGCTTCAGTAGGCGTATAATTGTATAAATACAAACGACTAAGCATTCGTAAAACGTATTTACCGCATTTACCACATTAATATATACATAGTATTAAACTGTATAGTGAGTCAAAGCACATGGAATCGGGTGGATAAAGCACGTAAAATCGGGTGGATGCGTACTGCGCACAACAACTGAGCACGATCACAATGCATTGCGCTAGAAACAATTACTGAACAGATGCCTCTCTGCACAAATTAGACTGCTACTTCGCTCGCTCAGCCTCGCTCCGCAGCAACTAGAGTTTGTGTCACAGTAGAAAACAGGGAAATTGCTTACTTGGCATTTCTAAACTGTTCGTTCTTGATGTTCTGTTTGGCCTTGTTGGTGTAGTAGGCCACCTAGTAGGCGGTGTTGTTGGTGGTAATGTAGATTTTTCTAATAAAATAGAGACAAGAGTAATATTTATTTAATCTGATGTATCACTGTAGTTTTACATTACTGAAACAAACTACTTGCCCACATTTAGATGTATATACAGTACATTCAGTTACTATACTCACCACAACACAACACAACACAACACAACACAACACAACGCAGCAACCCTGTTCATTAAAACAATTACTTTTGCAGTACCTGTTTGTAAGTTCTCTGGCTTTGACTTGGGTGATGATGTAGTTTGTTCTAGTAAGAAAGAATTTGGTGAATAAAATAAATAAATACTATTTATTAATTAAATAGTAAATACTATATTCATTACTCCATACATATAACTCATTATTATTACTATAACAATTACTCTTACCTTTAATTGCACATACTGTGTTGGGATCTCTAGATCTCAATTATCTAGATTTTGGGGCTTTAATTTAATTGGCTTTAAGCAAATTGAAAATGATGATGGTCTAATACCAAATCCCATTTATAGGTACAAAATGTTGTGGATTACTGCTATAAAATTTAATTTTCTTTATAATATTCTTTCTGTTTTAATTCAATAAATCCGTAGGATAATATGAAAGGTTTTAAAAATAATTTATCATTTGCTACGTTTCGGACATTTGACTTCTCCATTTTAAGGCTTAATTTAAATTATTTACAAAGTTGCAAATATTCAAATACATAAATTCACCGTCCACTGTATGTATAGCAACTTACCATCATTATTGCAATCCATAATCGCCTGCAGCCTGTGTTAAAAAAATAAAAACCATTATTATAGTAATAGTTACAGTCTGATGCAAGCAAATATTGGTTTGTGATCACTATAATATGACTCAAGAACACCTGAAGTGTATATTAACCTTGGAATATTTGTGTATATGTGATCTATTCGAGTTTGGTAATCTGTTGTACAATTAGTGATAAGTTGAGTATAACCTTTGGATTGAACCTATTTGATAAAAGAGCTTTGTATTCATGGGAATTCTTGCTTAAATCAACATTGAAATCTCCAAAAATAATTGCTTGCTGGTTCACAAGATGAGTTGTTTGGAGATGATCTAATGCTTCAATAAATTGACTAAATTTAACTTTAGTTGGGGAAAGATATATACCAACAATATGAACATGCCCATTTGACGAAGGATGGTTGATCACAGTTATAGTTATCTCTACTTTGTTGTAATTGTATCTGAATGGAAGTATTATGCAATCTAACGAATTCTTAATATAAATAGCACTTCCACATGGAGTTCGGGTAACAATTTGTGGCTCAATGTCATTTCTAAATAGATCAAATCCTTCAAGAGAATAATCATCATCATTGTCATTTGAGCATAAAGCTGTTTCAACGAATATGTTTATGTCAGCTGCCTGAACATTAAAATCAGTCAAAACATCATCAACATGAAGGTGAAGAGATCTTACATTTTGAAAATGTATTTTTAGCAAACGCTATCTAACGATGGAAGACATATATTAAGAAGCCTGTTCGACCTTAGCCTGAGCATCTCCTCTAATACTTTTGGGCTTACTTTTATTTTATTTTCATTTAAACAAAGAATGTGGAGAGAAGCAATATTTCTTACTCTACTAAGCCCCACATAATGCACGTGCTCTCTTGTTTAGGGAGAAAAGTCAACAACTACTTCGTCAAGAGTATCTCCTTCACAGCGATGAATCGTCTTTGCTGCAGATCGATGGCCTATTGGAAATTGGCTAAGTAAAATATTCACTTGTTTGTTTCGAGTAGCTTTAAACTGTCTTGTAATCTCTAGAATGGGGGTCCATGTTGCTGCTACTCCTGCATTGTACAAATGCTGATGACTTTCGCGACAGCTTTTTCCTACAGTATCTTCAGAGAATAGAACCCAAATAATACTTGGTCTATTAGAGCTTGTTACTCGGTAATCAATTTTGCAAACAGTACATTCAGTTCCATTGGTCATTCCATCAAGAACTGATACATTAGATGTTAAATCATATTTTGCTCCAACTGTAACAAATACAATTGAATACAAGCCCATTGTTTTGGTGGGATCATTGGGGATTTTTTCCTTCATCTTTTGTTTTAGCTGTTCAGATATATCCCTTACAACAATATCAACTGCTGGTACCTGTGCTTTTTCATTAGTTGACATTGAAAAAATTGCATTATTACTGTATGTAGGTTAACCAAAGCATCAGTTCCAAATAAATGAGTTAAGTACATGTAAGTGCAGTTATTATTCGAAATGTTGGTTACAATTCTTTCATTTAATGTTACGATATCAGCCTGAGAATGGTTTCCTTCTCTTAAGCGATTTAGCAGTTCAGCAAAAAGTTTATCTTTCTTTTGCCTCATTATCTGGCGTAGTTCATACATTTCAAAATAGGTCTGCCACAAATTAGGAGCTAAGGGGCTATAGTTGGATTTGTCATTCTCAAAAATCCACCTGTCAAATACTGGTTGAAGTTGAAACAAATCTCCAACAGTGATAAAACTAACGCCACCAAATGGCAATTTGCTCCCTAAAATCTGCTGCAGACGTAAATTCAAAAAGTTAAACATGCCGCTTCCCACCATTGATATTTCATCAATAAAAATGATCTTAAGATTTCTGAGTTTTGATCGTATAGTATTTAACCTATCACTATTAAGAGTACAGTATTCCCATCCTCTATTTGCTGGTAATTGGAATGCAGCCTTCCCGGTTGGAGCTACTTTTACAACTTTTACATCATCTGGGTTTTCGCCAGCAACGCTATTGAGATATCTAATCAGTGCTTCATACAAAGCATTTGTAAGCCAGCTTTTGCCAACACCAGTCCCCCCACTTAAGAAAAGTCTGAGTGGTTTGTAGCTTACTTTGACGGAATGCAACACATGATAAAAGAAAAGCTTTTGCTCTTTATTTAAAGATCTTACTAATTTTCTAAAAGCTGTATCATCCATTCTATTTATTACCAATTCCTCATTTGACTATGTTGCTTGTCTGCTCCTGGGTCAAAAACAACCAAACAAAGCACTTGCTTTATGCCCAACAATGGCGTCTTGTTCATCAATATGTTGTGCATTTGGTGCTATATTACCATAATCATTACATTCAGAAAGTTGTCAAGATCTTCAACAGCCTTCTCAAGAACATCTGAGTAAACCTCGCAGTGACTTCTGTTTTTCAATATTATGTCTTTTAACTGCTCATATTTTTCTTCAAATGTTTGGCAAGCACATATGAGGTTTTCGTCTTCATTTCTCCATGGCATATATAGCATAAGTTGTTCTCTGTAATAACTCTCAGGACTTTTGTTTTTGTTGTATCTTACTGAACGAATAACCTTTGACACAGATCTTTTAACAAGTTTATAACTACCTTTTAGTTGATATTCATCTTGAATGAAATTGATATCCTTATCGGACATAGCGTCATTTTGATCGTCATCTAGATTATCTTCAAAATCGTTTTCTGGCAGGAAATCATCCAAACTTAGAGGTGCTTTCTTAGCATTTCAATTTTCTCTAATACAGTTATACCAAGCAACAAAATCTGCTAAGCATGTGTTGTTTAATTGACATGGTCGTCTCCCATGATACCTTTTGATGATGTTATCCTCAGAGTTGCCAGGCAATTCTTGCAGTTTGTCCATTGGTTTAAGCAAAAAGGTTCTTTCATTAGGAATTGTAGTGTTGATAAATTGAACTTGTCTTGACGAACGTTGTAGTGGCAGTTGAAGTGTCAAATACACTGCTTCTTGAGCACTTATTTCTACTGCACTGAGAAATTTATTTCCAATGTGCCTAACTTGATTAATTAAATCTTTATATCCTGATTTTACTTCCTTGCAAGCATTCTCAACAAGTTTGCTCATCCCCCTCTGGCCCTTTGTGATATATGACAAAATATAAATAGCACAAGAATAAGGATCTAAGACATATTGTATATCTAAATTTGCTCTCCATGCTTTTAGAAGATCTACGTTGTAACTATTTATTCTTATGTCCGAAGGAGACCTTTTGAGAAACATTGTGTCACGTTGCAATGAATACGAATAGACAATATGTAAACATCAATAGTTAATTCTAACTTTTGCAGAAATTCATCGAAACTTAAACTAATTTCATTTCCAAACTTCATTAGCACTAAGCAAATTTGTTATGTTGCTGAAGTTGGTTTTTAAAATCTTAATTTTCTTATCATTTAAGTCATGCAGATCGAGCGGTTTCAATATCATTGTTGAAGGCATAGGAAATATTGGGAAGTGGAATCTACAGATATTTTGTCCCTTTTTTGCATGTTTTCGCATGTCTGTGCAATTGAAGGTTGACTAGATCTGTATCTACAGCACCTTGTGTATCACTTTTGCAGGTGCCATACTTGTCAACGAATGCTGTAACTTCAGACTCAGATTTTTTCCCAAAATGGGGTGCATTCTTGACCCAAAATAAAGCATGAATATGGGGAGATCCTCTTTGCTGAAGTTCAACTCTATAAAAAAAGTCTTCTATCTCACCAATAGGCATTTGCTTACTTTTAAAAAAAGTTGTTAGAAATAAACGAAACATGTGCTCAAAGTTTCTAGCACAAGTGACAGGATCTTTCCGAATTAACTCTGACTTTTTTTGCCAAGTCATACCACTAATTTCATCATCAGTGTAATTGTTTTTTTCAACCAGCCTTCCTAAAATTTTGAGCAAATGGGGCCACCTTGTCTCAGCTGCAGAAAATGAGCAAAACCATGTTGGGTTGCCAAGTTGCCTAATCATTGCAAACAAATCTTTTTTGCATTTTTCAAAATAAGGGGGTGAACCTCTTAAATTTCTAAGTACTCTATGCCCTTCTTCGAGATGAATTAACTTTTTCACACCAGCATCTGTTTTCAAATCACCTGATGTGTACTTTTTACCCTTGGTTTTACATTTTCGAATTGAAATACCTGCACTATCCTGAATTCTTTTGATTTGAAGTTTTTTCAGTTTGTAAAATATATTGGGAACCGATGCAGCAACTCTACGATCTTGACAACGTAATTCCCATTTACAAATTGTACTGTACTGCACAGGGATTTGACGACCCTGATTATCACTTCTCCTCTTTCCATAGAATATAGTTGTAAATGACAAGTACTCTGAATCTTTGTCAATGAATAACCCAAGAGGTTTGTTTCCCTCACCTGGTGCAAAGCTAAGAACATCATGAAAATTCTGACTAACACCTGGTTCAATTAACAAAGTATGCATGACTCCTGCAGGACGCTCTTCAACTTCAGACCAAACATCTGTTTCATCAGAGTGTTCATTCTCCTCAGTTACTTTCTCATTGTCTAACTGTGACGTCTCACCTTCAATGCTATGTTCCTTATATGTTTCAAGCTATCAGCTATCAACCTCTATACCTTCATCTCTGAACAATGGGCTATTTTCTACAAGCTAGATATTGGGCAGCTTTCAGAACCCTGAATGGTCTTATATTTTCGAACAAGTAATGACGCTTGTAACTGAGACGTCGTTTAAATTTTATTGGAATGGTTTGCAGTTCATTAACAGGTCTTGGTAAAAGATTAACAGTTGAATTCACATCAGCTGGAACATTAACAACATTTCCATGTATGCTTAGTTGGCCTCCCCTAGGAAGCTCTCGTAATTGCATAAAAGGAATACGAGGTGAAATCATTCTTTCTTCCAATGAAGTCAAATTAAGTACATCTGGTTTCTCAGGACAACTCATATTGCAACCTCGTTCCCAGGCTCTTACCTTCGCACGCCCCAAGCTGCGGAAAGACCCTGGTGCCGGCTGGTCACGTGGCTCCCAGGATATTAAATTACCAAGGGAGGGATGGACAAATCTAAATTACAATGCTTCCACTTTGCAATAGTAAAATTCGTTGGCAAGGAGTGGACGTATTGGTTTGAATTGCAAAAAGTGTAATTTGAGAGTACTTTATATCGCAATTTGTCATTGTATAATTTGTATTGAATACTTCGAGGAATACTTCTTGTCAAATTGACAATTATGCGCGCGTTTGTGTTCTTTTTGTCATTCACATGCTGCCAGGCCATAGAAGCAAAGTTGATAATTTCAATGGAAACTCGAACGAAGATGCTCGAGGATGCTCGAGTTTCATTGCATTTCTTGCTTGCTTGGAATTCGTTGTTCTAAATAGCGCATTTCATAACAACATACTGTACTGAAGCCGAACCAACTAAGCAAGTTCTTTGTTTGGAAAGTATTTATTTATTTATTCAATTTCGCCAGGTTAAATTACACGATTGATAACAGTGTGTTCAAACTTCGACAAGAGTTGCAATTTAAACATACAGTTCTCCGTTTCTTGGGTCCTGCATCAAAACAACGGTGCAGGGCTTTCAAATAATACTGTCGTAAAGCACACGAGCAAACTTTATTTTGACAAATTTTATTTGATCAAATGCATTTGATCAAAAGCTAGCATGCTAGCTTGCTAGCTTTTGTTCAAATTAAATGCATTTGTCACAATAAATTTGTCACCAATTTATCACCTACACGAGCGAAATATCTTTGACATTCAATTTGTCCGTGTAAACGGGCCTTAAAGGGTAATGGCAATACAATTTTTTATTGCTTTATCTAAAAGAGTAGGAAAAAATAAGCCGATTGGCCGTTTACTGCCCTATTCTATCTCATCTGGTTCCAAAGTTATACGCAAAAATGTGCAAAAAATAAATTGCTGATTCAGCACAACGTGTGACGTCATTGGTTGGGTAAGTAAACTAAACTGAAGCATAGCTGAGTTATTATGGGACCAAATCAAATGAAATTTTGCGTACTGATTGTACATGATGAGATGCATTGAAAAACACTTCTAATTTTGCTGTCCAGGTAACAATGTCGTTCCCAGGCCACTTGCGCCAATTTTATAAAACAGCTTTATTCATGGTACTTATAAGAATAAAATAATGTCAGAAGTATGTGTACCATACCTATGCATGCCAAAAGTTTACTTGCATAATAATATTTCGAAAATGACATACACATA